TTTTGGACAAAATAAACTTGATGATATTGCTTCATATTGTACTTGCAAAAGTGGTTTGCGTACTGCAGGTGGTACTTGTTCCCACGTAACTGCAGCTTTAATTGCCTTAAAATATTGGAAAAATAATAAAAAACTACCATTCTTTTATACAGCAGCGGCGGCATTATTTATCAATGTTTTGGATTGCACTGCATATAAACAGAGGAATAAAAACAAACAAATGTCAACAGAAGATGATGAAACATTTAGTGACACCGAAAACCAAACATCACTAAGTGATGTATCAACAAACGCTGAATTAACAGATGAAGAATCAGCTGATGAAGAATCAACAGGAAACAATATTAATAAAGAAGATGCTAATAAAAACCAATCTAATCGTAAAAAAAAACCGAGAACTGTTTAGTATTAGCATTCACTGACTGCATCTGTTAGTTTTTGGAACTATCTTCTTGCCTCAGAACCTTTTTTTGTAAAAGCTTTTGGGCGTGATAATCAAATTCTTAATAAAATTTATTTCAGAAATGGCAATGAAATAAGTTCTAAAACACAGCAGCCATATGTGACATGCGTAGTTTTATGTTGTCATGTCTCAGTAAAGTATTAATAAGTTTGATAAATAAAGTCGTACAGGGCCATGCTACATCTCATTTTGTAGAGCAACGAAATCTCTACAGTTCTGTGTATGTAAAATATATTTCAGGTTGCCAAGCATGAAACTATAAATACTGTTCCAAGTGGCATCACGAAAAATACATAGAATGTTTTCTTCCAAATTATTATAAGTCATATAATAACTTGAATATGAAGAAGAGTGACATGGATTATGAAAGTAGACAGTGTGGGGTGTCGAACGGTATACACATGATTGGGTTAGGTTTTGGCTTGATTCTACACGATTGTAATTTTGGTATAGGAGGAGTCCCCTTAAACATGTCAAATCTATGATTTTCTAATTTAATTTTCTCTCACGGTACGCAACAGAATTTGATAATATATACACCATTGGATAGAGAAAGTCTTCCTCTACAAACCTACATATATCCCGTTTTGTGGTCAAAATTCACCGTGAAAGTCATAGTCGCCTTTGCTTGATTGCTGTTATATTGCTCTGTCGATAAGTGCATCGACCAATAACCTCATCAAAATCAAATAAATATATGTACCTATAGAAGTAAAAAAATTGGAAATAAAATCTACTCTCAGGTCGAAAGCACTTAAGAATCTTTTTTTTCATCTACTTTCAGAGTAGAGCCAGTAAGTATAAGTGGCCGATTACCAAAATCGCTCATATTTCACTAATTTTTCATACTTTTTGAAATCTGGCATCAAATCCATGATAAACGAAAAAGCTGGATCAGAGTCGTGTATAGCATAATCTAAACTGACCTTGGAATCCACTGAACACGAGCACCGTGGTGGTACAGATCAATATCTATCTTCAAAACCTACCGCGATCTAGGGGTTATGAGTTAAAAAGAATTTCCATTTAATTCTCACCATCATACATACAATGGGGAATACAAGTACGTTGAGATTTTTCCTTTATAATGCTTTACCTGTAGAAAACGTTTTTCGTTTGAATAAATGACAATAAACACGAAAATGCAATTGTATTTTCCCATTTACAGCATGAAGCACCAATTTATCTACTAGAATAGTCAGATATTAGAAATTGGCATCAGAAACTGAGTCGAACGACATAGGTTTTATCGAAAAATATTTTTCATCAAAACTAGACCTCTAGGAGACCACAGAAGAAATTTAGGCAAAAAAGATATTGAACTGTATAATCACGGTGCTTGTGTTCAATGGACCGCGTGGTCAGTTTAGATTATACTGTATACTATTCTGACGCAGTTTTTTCGGTTATCATGAACCTGATGTCAGATTTCAAAAAGTATGAAAAATGAGCAAAATATGAGCGATTTTGGTAGTCGGTTACTTATATTTACCTGCTGGTAAAAATGTGGCCTTGGACCGATTTTTTTTCAATGATCAGTCTATAGTCCATATTCAGAGATAAGCCTGGCAAATGTTGGCTATGATTTTTTCCATTTTAGAGAAAACCGACACTTGGTACTGCAGATGGTCGTCCACCACAACGAGACGCACTCATAAAATATATTTTTTTTAATTTTTTATTAAAGTTTTTTTTACAAAAGCTGATGTATTGTACCATTTCTTGTTTCAATTTATGTAGGAATGTTTTCTGAGTTTATTAAAACCAATCCGGAACTCACAGAAACGTTTATTTATTGCGAAGAAATGGTTTTACTAAAGGGTAGAATGGTTGACGATTCCAGTAATAAAATGCCTTGTTTCTTTCTTAAGAGATTCTGAACGTTTCTGACGTTATATTTGTGTTCGCAACAGTCAGTTCTATTTAACCATGTGTTCAGAATATAAAAACATAGGGTGGCAGTTACAGCTAGTTATCCGGCGGTGTCCTTTCAATAATGTGGTCATAATGACAAAATTTGACTACTTCTGTTTTTCTTTGTTTCATCTACACTGGTATAGATTTGTCATGTACCACGACTTGTTTCAAAAACAGGGAACTGAACTGAACTGTAGCCGAAAAAATCGTGTGGTGGTCTGAGGAAGAAATAAACTTGCTGTTAAATTTGTTAAAAGATGAAATAATATCGAATGAGTTTTATGTTGACAAAGTTAACATGAATTCAGTAACACTCTTTAATCTAATCAACAGATTTATTGACACCGGCTGCTAATAAACCTCCTTGTACTTTTTTCCGGACGCCACGATTCCGATGACTGGCTACTAGTTATGGCTATCACGAGTTAATGCACGATTATCTTTTTATCTTGATTAGTGGGGACATACACATTTCTGTTCAACATGATTAAATATTGTTAAACACGATCAGCGTGTCGCTTTCATACCACAATATGCATGCAGTAATTGCAATTACTCACTTCAAGTTTTCGGTGTACATTTCCTAAGCAAAGATTTATGACTACCATGACAGCCCAATGCATATTTTTAAGAAAGAAAACAAACCATGGCAATTCTGCACAATATCGAATCTGAAATTTTATGGATAGCATATGTATTCTGGTTAAAAATAAGATTTATTCTTTAATATATTATTTAACATCATTCTATAAGTAAAATGAAAACAGAAAAAAACATTATTTTATAATTATCAACCTTCGAGAGAACACATGTGACAACAAGCAATCGACAAATACTCACAACAAAATTCAAAGAAGATAGATTTTTATTATATTTCTTAATCCTCAGTCAAATTAACTTCTTTAATCGTTTGAATTAACGCAAGTTCGTCATTCAGAAATGCTGTACGATCACTAAGAATTATTGATTGGTGATAAGAAAAATTTTTGATACTTGGACTTTACAAATGTTCAGTCACTTCTGCAAGATATTCATCTGTATGTTCGTTCCATAAATATCTAAAATACTATGTTGGCTCGTTTTCTGACTTAAACTGGCACTGATCAGCGATGTTGGTTTTTTGTTTGTTTTTATACCTTCTCCACGCTCATAACTCGCATATGTGGCGTCAAGAATTCTTTTGTCTACTTCTATGTGGTATATAAAACTGTACAATCACAGTAACTATATTTAAATGGTCTATCTGTATCTGTTTCATTCGACACTGGAAACAGATTTATACCAGTTCATACAAAATTAATTGCACGAATAAACTTATTTAATTTTTCACCAAAATTTGGATTTACTTGCATTTCTTCAGTACCTCGTAGGATAGCTGCGGAAATATCATCATTAATTCCACCAATCAAATTTACATCTTTAATTACAACGTTTTCATTATCTTTTTTTTCAGAATACACATCATCAACTATCTGTTCAAATATCTGTACCATCCTTTAATTTATAATAAACTGATACCGGTAGCACATCCGCACTAGGCATGCAACGTAACCGTAACCGTAAATAACCGCTTTATAACAACTTAGTGTATGTTTGGTTTTTAGTTCTTTGATATCGGTTTACATTAGAAGTAGACCAGGTTGGTCTTTGTCCTAATGTTATAGTGCATCTACTATAGTGACAGTCTACACTATGTGCACAAGAACGACTGTTAAATGGAGGCATCGGCGAATATCTCATCAACCACTGTTTGTCAGACTAATTTGACTTTTTTGAACAAAATCTTTCACCTTTTCATCATGAGTCTTAGCATTTCATCTAATGAATTTGAGCACAGGCTTGAAGTACATCCATGTCACTATAGCAGAAGCATTAAAACGTCAGAACAAAAAAGACCAATCTTGTCTACTTCTAATGTAAATCGATGTCAAAGAACTAAACTCAAGTATACACTAAGTTATTATAAAGCGATTATTTACGGTTACGGTTAACGGTTAATAACCTTAAGCGCTGCATGCCTAATCCGCAGTAAGATGTGAAAGATGAACAAGTTTGGTATTGTTGACTAGACAGAAAACTGCCAGTTGAATTTTGCAGTGAATCTTGAAAGTCGTTAAACCATTTGCAGCAATAATGGCATCTTCTTCAGTGGAATTCGGTTCAACATTTGCAGTTGAATTTAAAGCCATTGTATTTTATTGTTACTATTATAATGAGGTGTTTATGGTGTTTAATTTTGCAAACGAAGCTGAAGTTATAAATATGTCAACATCTCCTAGTCGCTGTTTTTCTCTCTATCTTTTAAAACAATGTTTTATCCAATCTCCAGTCAGTGCTGTTTATTGAAATTAAATTTCGTTTCTGTTACTTACCAGCATCAGTCCGCTGTTATACCATAACTTCTTTCAAATCAATCCTTAGAACATTGTCAGCTTTTGATTCGCTCCAGCTAGAAGTTGGGTTCTATGTCAAGTCCTTCAAAATGTTACCACAGTCACCACAATCAACGCGATTTTATCTCATATGAAAACCACCCACAAGTATTATCCTCAAGAATTTTAGTCGAAAGACTGCGATATTCGGATCAGGCATGTCGAGAAATCTTTTTGCCTAAGTTTGAATTTGAAGGCACACAAAAATTCCCCTCAAAAGTTTTGCCTGAGGTCCCTCCCGGGCATTTTTCTTAAAATTTCCAACGAAAACTTTTTTTCGAAACACATCGAATTATATATCGTCCGATGTAGTTTTTTTCGCAGATTTCGAATATCACATTAGTTTTGCACCAAACTGCTGCTGAATGTTTAAAATTTAAGTTCTGCACTTTTTTCTTTCTGCATCTGTACTATGGGTGTTAATTTAGTGTTACTTTGGAAAATAAATGTAAATGAATCATTTATACTTAAAAAATAAATATAAATAAATGAAAAAAAAATTTATCTTTATTTTATAAAAGTAAATGATTCCTTTACATTTATTTATTTATTTCTACCTTTACTTTTAAAAATAAAGGTA